GTGGCCGGGCCGGCCGCCGTCTCGGTCACTGCGCTGGCACGCCGACACACGGCCCGCGGCCCGGCGTGTGACATGTCACCGGGGGAGCGCCGGGGGGCTCCGGCGCGACCTCACACAGAGCCGCCCCCAGCCGGCCGACAGCTCCTTCCTCCGGAAAACAGAGACGAGCCAACTCAAACACTCTGCGCCGCTCCGAACACCGGCGGGGGTCCTCGCTCCGGCGGCCTTGGGATCCGTGCCGGACGCTCCCGCTGCTAACGGGACGGACAAGTCAGAGCCAGAATGGGGCCGGCAATATGTGGCCGCCGAATTTGGGATGGCCCTCCGGCCACGGCGATAGCATTGCAACTTATGGCCGAAACTTGTGGCTGATGCCTGCGTCATGAGCTGATCTCGTACCAGCGCTTCAATTTGTTTATTTCTCTCAGGAATAGTTAGTTTGTTGATGAGAACTGCGTTCAAGTTTCGCCGTAGCTGCAGTGAAGATTCTCAATATAACTGCGGTTTTAAGTGGACTGTTATGTGGTTTTACCAGCGAGTGACCGTTTACCGGCGACGGTTAGCCGATGAAAGCAATAAACCTGCCTACTGGTTTGTTGTCCGGCAGCCTTTTGCTCACCGTTCCTGGTGGCATCGTTCCGTGATTTTAGTGGCGAATACCCCGCAAGGGCCATAAACATTCTTGGGCCAATCCTTAACTACCCATTAGCTGATAAAAGACTGTTAAAAGCCCACGAAATCCTCTAAAGCGTGGTTAAATGGCCCATGCGAACAGAAGCAGCAAACACAAAGCACTTGACGCCTTGCATAGTAGACTTCCTAGAATTTCCACTGTGATAACATTGGTGGGCTTTAGCCTAATATGAGGCAAAGGCACATTTTGACCGGGATGTCAAAAATATGCTAATGCTGCTAGCACGTGTTCTTCCGGTTTTTGCCATTCAGTAATTCTTGATGAACTATTTTAACACGACGCGGAGGATCTCTAGTACAGGGCTCCGCTGAGCCTCAGGCCTAAACAATGAACCTCATGGATCCAGCTTCATTGACATTCGTCTTGTAATCCCCATATGAAACATTCAGAGGAACTGTATATGCGGCAACATTAGCTAGAACCTGCTTATATAACGCGCGCCGTACAAGACCATATTGAACTCCGTTCCCGACTGTTTTATTCGAACGAATTTGAGAAAATACAAGCTTGGTCGAGGACTGTGCGACTTTTTCTTAGGGCTCAGTAAACATAAGAATCAGTACACAACATACTTACTATTTGTTAGCCTCTCGACTCTCCTACATCTTTTCAGCATCAATTTAATCATAGTGGTCAACTGCGACGGGAAACCTGAAATGCACGTTTACTGTAAAAAATCTCGCAATTGATGTGGCTTGATTCAATGTCAAAGATAATCTTCGTAATGTCATTTATTCGTCTAGGCCATATGGAAACGTCAATGAAGAGCTAAATGGTCACGACTCCTTCTTTCCAAATCTCTCTCTCTCTCTCTCTCTCTCTCTCTCTCTCTCTCTCTCTCTCTCTCTCTCTCTCTCTCTCTCTCTCTCTCTCTCTCTCTCTCTCTCTCTCTTGCTCTCTTGCTCTCTCGCTTGCTGTCTCCCGGACAGAGTGCTCTGTCCCGGACGAAAATAGGTGGAGAGAAAGAAAGATCAAACAGGCAGCGGAGAGTCGTCTTCTCCCGATGCGTACCACGACCAGAGTCGTTTCAGGGAATGGCAAACGTCTGATACGAGCTCAAAGACAAAGCACATGCCACAAAGATGGCTTGGGGCCATTTCCCTCCCGTAAAATTGCATATCTGTTCGAATATTTTGATGGCGCACGAGAACTTTTGGCCAAGGTGGCGTTCCAAATACACGTCGGGCACAGGCTCTGCAAACTGGTAAAAATCTAGTCATTTTGCCGGGTAATGGAGGTGAAACATGTTGTTGCTTCATCAAACGGTGTTATTCAATGACCGTCAATCAGGGCCTCGGCTAAGGAATTTTGACTACTGGGGCAAATCGTCAAAGTGTGTTGGCGCCCTGCTGGGGGGGCCCCCAGCAGGGGGGGGGGGCCGCAGGTGTTTGAACACCTGCGGTTTTTCCTGCGGTTTTTCGCGGATATCTAAAAAACGGCGGCGCTCCATCACCCATCAATTTTACACGTGTTGTAAAAATCTCAGACCAAGGTCATTCAAGATCAGGTTACCAGGTCACTTCAAGTGACCTCACCTCATGAAATGTTTCCATGTATGCCGTAGCTACACCGAGTGACCGATCGCTTTGAAACTTTCAGCGATTGATAAGGGCAACAGCATGTACAAAATTTATATCTCGGAATTTTCATATCGGTGACCTAAGGTCAGCTCACTTTTGCGACCGATCTATTATAAGTCAATGGGAGAAATTCAAAACCACCTCTTTTGGACGAAAGTTATTCTAAACACTATAAAACACTGTACGTGACTTTGACACACTGAACATGAAAATAGCACCCGTGACCCTTTTTTATGCCCCTGAGGTCATCTCAGTTCACGAATGGTATCTAACAGTTTTTCGCGAATAACTTTTGAAAGAGGCATGCTAGAGCGATGAAAATGCCTTAGATGTGTTTGGTTAGACGATGCAGATCGACTGATATGCAACATGACAATTTCCGGTCAGATCATGACTTGAACCTGAGGTCGAATTTTCAAGTTGACCTTCAAGGTCAAATTGTAGTTAATTTGATGCGTCTTGACGAGAGGAACACGATGTCGGATAAAAGAAAGCGCTTGCATTGGGCCTTGGCTCGTGCAAAGCATGAGTCAAAAGTTATTGCAGAAAAACTGTTCCCCCAAAATCGTCTTTAGTAGTTTTTGCCCCTTGCAGGCAAAACCGTTGGCGTTAGGTCAAATCTAAGAGAAATAACCAGAAAGCATGCTAATATGGCTATCAAATGCGCTTTTCCGCGGTGCTGTAGCTCTAATTGGTTCCCGAGTTAAGCGTCGGCATCTTGTAAACTGTCGATATTCGACCTGAAAATCGGCGAAAGTTGGCCTTCACCATGACCTGACCTTTGACCTCACCAAAAAAGTGGCTCAAGTAATTTCGTCATTATTTTTGACGCTCTTTCGAACGAAGATGGATTATGGGGTGTAAAAAGATATGCTTGCTAATGTACAGTCCACAGCAGAAGTAATGTGCGGTTTCAGTCATGGGTATGTTCTGCTTCTGAAGCTTAGGAACGATTAGTCAGACTACAATGAAACTTTGAATGTAGCTTATATGTATCGTCAGTCGTCACCCTTGCAGCTGCAATTTTAGCTATTGACATCTTCTTTTCGATCACTCCGCATTAAACAATCGCCAGTCAAAGCCAATCGTTGAGATTGGTAAAACCCTACATTACTTTAGCGGTGGGCTGTACGCCTATGTTTTTGGATGGAAATTGAGGGTGCAGCTGCACACCGTGCACTCCCTCTTCCGCCGCCCCTGATTTCTTGCCACAAACGTCTTCAACCGCTCCCGAATGAAAGAATGTACGTTAATATTGATATATTCTCATTTTGTGGAGGTTGGGCAAAGCCTGACCACTACTGGGGCATTCCTCGACTCTACTGGGGCATTTGCCCCAGTAGTTAACATGTTAGCCGAGGCCCTGCCGTCAATCACAGACGATTCGGGCTGAATTTCCTTTTCGTCGTAGTTAGCCAGGTTTCAAACACGGCAACTTGCATGCACATAGGGCGAAGTTTGATGAAACTTTCTGGGACCCCGTTAATTTATCGATAAAACTTTTGTTACTTGGTTTTCTTATATCTTGTATTGGTTACCTTGACATTTATACGACATAAAAAATGAAATAATGAAAATGCAATGCACGATCACTGCCAAATCAGTCAAAAGAAATATCCCCATGCAAAATGGCAATAACTCGCTCTCTGTCCGGCCCACTTTTTCCGCTCTTCCCGACCTACTGCAGACGCCGTCGTTTCGCAGCCCGTCCCCATCGGTCGGGTGGCTGACCGCAGTCAATGGCCGGCCCGGCCGCCGCCCCCTCGCCAGTCGGGGGTCGTGACCCTGCGCGATGCTGGCCGGCCTAGTGGGCGGCTAATGAGTCGACCGGTCCCCGCCGGGCTGAGCGGACCTCCCCGTGGACTGGGCCGCCCACACCGCTCTCCACTGGCCACGGGGAGGCTGCGAGGGCCAGGGAGGGATGGGAAGGCACGGAGAGGGAGGACAGGGAAGCCCCCGGTGGATAATTCGCGCCGGTCGTCCTATTCCGACATGGATTAACGTGTAAAATGCCGTCCCGACGGCCGGCTAGTCAGCGGAGCGGGCGAGATGGCACGCGTGAAAACGCCCGGGATGGAAGGCGGAGGAGAATTGCGCCGGCTAAACGCCCCAATTTTACCGCGGTGTGTTATTACCCACAGAGATGGTTCACAGGTGCACACTTCGGGAAGTGGATGAGGGTGGCTTTGAGCAGCGTACTTTTTTGTGTCAAAAAAAAACTTTGGTCTTTTAGATGTCCCTTTTCTCTCGCTGGAAAGCTACAGTGTTGTACACGAGTCAATCGAAATACCACCCACTGGGATTATCTGAACAATGTCGGCTATCGGTCTCTTCACTCGGACACTCTGTTCCACGGATAAAGACGTCACACGAGGCGGACGACGGGAACCCGTGCCCGCGCCGTGATCTATTATCCTGTTGTGGATTTACTCTTTGGTCGGATCAGCGCGTGTTTGTGAGGTCGAATAGTTGGGATAGCTACGGACCACCAAGGCGGGTCATAAAAAATACACGGACCACACAAGAGTAAACAACTAGTGTAGATAGATTGCCGGTGGGTTAGAGCTCTGGTAATGTGTCGAATAGTTGCTTCTTGAATGGTGATTACACTCAGATCCATCCCCGGCAAAGCGGTTTCCAAGATAATTAGATGGTGGGGCTAAAGCTTATGACAAGCTTGGGCTATATCTTCTTGATGTTTCAATAAACCACTCCTCGCGTTTCAGACGTGCCGCGTGCGCCGCAGCGACCACTGGTGGTGAGCTTCACGTCCCGGTCCGCCGAGCTCTCCTGGGCGCCGCTGTTCACCGAGGCTCCTGCGCTCAGCTACCGTCTGCAGAAACGGTGAGTGGTATACCCTTCTCCGTGACTGATCAATCAGTGATCATTTCCGGGAGTCAGTCCGCCCCCAGCTGTGACCTTACTGCGGAGTGACCTTGACAAGTGCCCCCCCCCCGATGCTGTCAGTCTAATGTCCGGTAACGGATACCATCTCGCTCCGTTCATCGCACATATATCACACAGATGATGCTCGCTATTGAAACAAATGGTGTCGGTGCCGGCTGTTTTCTGCTCGTCGGGCTAGCGTTGGTTTTGCCTCTGTGGCAGATTGCACGCTGCTAGAGTGGCCGAATTTTATTTCTTTTCAACGAAATGGCGCTGTAAAATGGATTGCGTTTCTGAGAGCTTACTCGCATATCGTTCCGTAAATTCTTGAGACATTTGGTATTTGTGTTCAAATGCGTCAACTGTTGTCATCCTCATCACATGTCTAACAACCCGCAATGGGTGGGATGCTTAGCAGATAGCTGTAAATGCAGTAAAAGTAACAAACTGTTTTCTTAGAACAGTATTACAAACAAAATCATTTTTGAATGCTCTCTTGTGCCATCTAGTCCCGCTTGTCACTCCTCCAACAGTCCATTCAGGCACCCTCTGGCTAAAGCTTTTGAGCAACAGAACCTGGAACAGAGTATTTCTGTGTTTAGCCGTCAGATCGATGGGTCAGATCTGAACCCGGCATTCGCCTTTGGGCCTGTATGGCCCAGTAAAACAAATCAAACGACTTTCTGATATCATTTCAAGGCACTTCGAGTCAGACTTGAGTGATGTTAGTGCTCCCTATCCGATAAAACTTTCGTTGGAATAGATCTTCTCATGCTTGTCTACCCGAAACTCGAATTGTTTATTTGTTCATTGGCAACATGTGTGAGCCGTAAAAATGCGGCTAGAAGCGTGTATTTGATTGAATTCGATAAAACTTCCTGCATCAAAATTTAGGCTTACGACGCATCCCTTGTGTTTAGTAAGCAAGTGTTCACGTGAATGTCGGCTGTCGTGTGACTTTCAAATGAAGTCGAAACTGCTCGTGTTATACCTATATTTGAATTGTTCTCATCGCATCTGTTTTACATGATATTCGTAATCAGTATGAGAAAATGCGGACATTGTCGTCATTTTCTCAATCATTGGGAATTATGGAGGGAAACGTCTGGTCGGAAAGATAACCACATATGTCAGGACTGATGAATGTGGTGATTATCCTGTCTCATTACATGCGACAACTGAAGGCCACGGCATGAGAAGAGCTTCGCGGCTAACGAGCCTTTAAGTCGGCCCAGAAAATAGACGAGCCGCACTCTGTATAGTCATGTGCTGCATCCATGTATAACGCAGGACATACATGCATATTTTAGAACAACACCCCTTCGCACGTCTCCCGACGGTGCTGTGCTTCCGTCGCCCGCTGACACTGTGACGGTGGTTCGCTACAGGCGGTACGACCCTTCGGGCCCGTGGGACCTGCACAACGAGATCACCATCCCCGGCAACCGCACCACCTTCAACGTCACGGGACTGCTGCCCTTCACGGCCTACAGCTTCCGCATCTTCTCCGTCAACAGCGTGGGCCGCAGTCTGGCCAGTGAGCCCTCCTACCCGATGGTCACACACAGAGAAGGTAAGGGGCATCGATAAGCGTTATGGGAACACTGAGGGACTTCGAAGTTATTTGCTTTGTTATCTTAGACAACATTCTTAGAACCTTGAAATTAAAGAAGGCAATAATCTTGATAAATTTTGTCAACAATATGCCTTCACCATAAGTAGGGAGCACGATAAGATAAGCAAGTAGGCAGCACCATAAGTAAAGCACGACTTTTAACCTTTCCACTTTTTACGCCTTTTCAATATCGAAATGGATCTTTTCCTGCCTCTCTTAACCGTTCCAAGTCACATAATCGTCAAGCAAAGCGCGTAAATTTGCACTCTACTCTGGCACTCGAGTGAGCGGGCTGGAATGATTTTGACGGCCGGTCGGGTGCCCCCGTGGAGGGCTGTTGATACCGCTCAACGAGTGGCCGGCGCGAGACGAAGTGCACCACTTAGGCGGCGACAAAATATAGAGCGTCGCCAGCGGAGCAGAGCGGCGCGCCGGTATGGGGCCGCGCGCCGGGGTGTGGGAGTGGAGCGCGACGCACCTCACGAGGGAACGGCACGGGTGGGGGAAGCAACAGGGAATTCTTTTCTTGAGGAAATTCAGAGAAAGTTCCTTCAAATTTTTATCTAAGCGCCGCGGCTTACCAAAGTAAGAAAAGTAAGAGCACCCAGCTGTATTTACCAATGCAGTCTGCAAGCCTTCTAAATTTATCGCCAACAACTCGACAAATCAGATTGATGTTGGAAATTCTCCGCAGCGCCGAGCGGGAAGCCGACGGTAATTAAGACGTTCAGTCCGAGCTCGGACTCGATCGAGGTGGTCTGGAGGCCGCCGGACCGGTCCGAGATGAACGGAGAGTTTATCGGTCACGTGCTCGCCTACAAACCGAGGGACCAGGCCGAGACTGAGTGGATCACGATCGACCTACCGGGTAACGCCAATGAGTCCACGGTGAGTGACAGTGAATAGAAATGTGTAGGATGATTCAAAAAAGGAAAGGAGACCAAGTGAAGGCATTTCATCATTATCTGATTTCTGTATTTTTCCCCCTGAACAGCTGCAACAAAGACATATTTAGGTGAATGTCAACAGAAGTATATTTATTCATCGCATGGCTACCTTTTCTTAGATAGTTTTACCATTGATCTGATGTTCTTACACACTGTAGTCAATGTTTTTTCCCAAGTATGTGCAAAGGTATCGTGAAATCAGGCAGGCCCACGATACGAGTAGTTCCGTGTGTTGTAGGTATCAGTGAAGAAAATTGACAGTAGGTTATCAACATTTTCGGAATTTATTTAATTACAATGCGAACCGTTTCCCACAGATGTATGTCATCGAGAACCTCACACCATTCACCGAGTATCTGGTCAAGATCCAAGTAAAGAATATGATGGGCGTTGGCCCGTTCGCGGTTGTCAGAGAAACAACGCTAGAAGGAGGTGAGTAGAAATAGTGCTTCAATTGCAAAAAAAAAATCAATTAATCAAAATGATTTTGAGCCTGTGCAATTAAAGAAATCTCACCATAGTTTGCGCATATTAACGGCGCGTGCACATTTTCAGTTCCAGGGCCTCCTGGAAACCTGACTCACCAGTCTGTCGGGGACACATGGGCAATGCTCTCATGGAAGGAACCAGAAAGGCCCAATGGAGTTATAGTCGGATACTACCTGTACTTTGAGTTTCCACAAGGCAGCAAGACCATCACCGATAACAGAATAATCAGCGAGTCTCGTCCTCATATGGTTTACAACCTCACCGACTTGGGTAAGTCTATAGCAGCAGACAAACGTCTGAGAGGTAAATGATAGTACCTTCGAAAGAACTATGTAGAGGAAAGAAACGCAACCTTCTCGCTTTTCGTTCGCTAGCCGTCTCTCTTTGGAAAACGGACCATTATTAGTGGCCAAGAGGCCACGGGCATATGAAGTGTCGTACATTCTTGGCATGCCTGCATGGCTAGGCACCAAGACGAGACCCTCACTAAGCCTCCCTTCTCCGTCGTTCAGTGCCGTACACCCGCTACACGGTGTGGCTGCACGCCAAGACCAGCAAGCACGAGGGTGACCGCTCCGAGACGCTCTCGCTACGCACGGACGTGGGCGGTCCGGGCGCGCCGCTGATCACCAACGCCACGTGCCGCGCCGACACGTCGATCGTGGTGCGCTGGCGTCGGCCGCGACAGCTGCGGGGATCCATCGACTTCTATTACGTGCGCTACCGCGGCGAGTTCGACCCCGATCTCGAGCAGGTCATGATCGAGACCGCCGTCAGCGTCGAGTACGAACAGGTAAGATGGGCGACAATGGTAACAAATAAACTAACCTAAAGCAATTTGCCACCGTAATACCATGCAGTTCCTCCTCATAAAACTCCCCATTGCATGACATGTTGGTGATGAAAATCGAACATTTTGCGAGACTTCCCGCACGTTTCAGATTATCTTGCGCAACCTGACGGTGGACACGATATACGAGGTGCAAGTGGTGGGAGTCACCAAGTCGCGCTTCAATGACTCGCTGCTCTACTGGGGAGAGCCGTCCGAGACCCGGTCCGTGAGACTTCAGCACGACTGTGAGAGGATCCAGCGCATGGAGAGTCTGAAGAAGCGGCGTCACGTCGGCTGGAACCTCAGCTCAGGAATGGTGACTGGCATCGCCTGCGCCAGCTTCGCACTGCTCTTCGCGATGATGGCGTTTTTCATTTGGAGGTGAGTGAATGCAACAGATCATGCAGTAGGCTTCTTCAAAAATGTTTTTGCTGAGTTTCGAACGCGTCTCTAGGACTGTGTCTCCAGATTTGACTGATGTGTTGGATCCCTTGTCAAAAGCTTGAAGTTCAACAAGCTTTCGCTGCCGCTGACTTGATAGTGCTTTCCGGCTTAAAAGGTGTGTTTCTGCTCCGCAGGAAGTACTTCCAGGCTGCTTACAACTACCTGGACGAGCCCAACAAGACGCCGTCGACGCTCTCCACCGACTGGGAGACCGACTGTCCCGACGGGCCGGGCACCCCCATCCCCGTCCACCTGTTCCCCAAACACGTGAGCCAACTGCACGCCGACGGCGACATCGGCTTCAGCAAGGAGTACGAGGCCATCCAAACGCAGACCCTGCTGGACGGATACACCTCCGACTTCAGTCAGCAGACTGAGAACAAGGACAAGAACAGATACCTCAACATCGTGGCGTGTAAGAAACTATTCTTTCGTGGTCGTCGTGCTGTGAAGCAGCCCAAGAAGCCACTACTCCTCATGAGCAAATGCCTTCCATATGTTGTCCTAGCTAAAAAAAGATATATAATTACAGGCGATGGTTGCTAAATGTTTCTTTGAGCTCTACACTCTAGATAGGCTAGGGCGGTTCCCTACACTACATCTCACCCGGCACTTTCCCTCGTCTTCCCCAGACGACCATACGCGGGTGCCCCTTCAGCCGATGGGCTCCCAGAAGCGGTGCGACTACGTCAACGCCAACTTCATCGACGGCTACCAGAAGCCGTGCGCCTATATCGGCACCCAGGGCCCGCTGCCGGCCACCTTCGACTGTTTCTGGAGAATGGTCTGGGAGCAGAACGTGCACATTCTCGTCATGATCACCAACCTGGTGGAGCGCGGACGGGTAAGCGATTCAGCCATGTCATTCATTTGGTGTTTTCACCAACAATGTATGTACTCGTATGGTAGGCATTTGTAACTGTGAAAGAACATGCTGAGACAATATCTGTGAATTATTAGAGCTAGAGCTGTTGCCTCAGTCTTATTATAGCTTGTGCTACCTCAATCTAATCACTAATGCTTTAGGAGATGGTCGCTGTGCATAATTGTTAACACCTTAGGTGTATTCATGAAGTTTAAGACGATCCTTGAATCGTTAAATAGTTGAGCTGGTTGAGCTTTATTTGTCTGAAAAAACATAACATGTTTATGAGGAAAGCATTTCAAGCATTACTTATATTCTATCTGACCGATAGGACTTGGAAAACTCTTCGGAAGTTTATGTGGAGGTAAACATGTTGAAATAACTTGTGTCGTCTAGCATAGATGTATAGATACTAATTGATTGTTAACAGTATGTGTTCGTTGTGCAAGCTTAGTGCTTTGTAGCTCGATGTAGCTTATTGTACTCTCAGCTTCCCCGATTTTAATGCTGGTATGTTTGATAAATAGAAATAGAGTTCACGGCCTTTTGATTTACCACACTATCAAACAACACTTCGTTGTTTTACTATGTACGTTAACAATTAGGCTATCCATCTAAAAATGGTCGCAATTCCTCAAGTCACCTTTCTCCATCTTTCTACAAGCTGATACTGTTTTTTTGCTTTTTTACTTTTGTTTACAGTAGCTAGAAAAAATCCACATTTTTTTCGTCTCAGTGGACTTCAAGGGACATCCTACATTTCTATTTTCTGCTTTAGGTTTTAAGATATCAATCCTATTATAATTATCGCCATTTACGACAAATAACATTTGCATGCCCAGTATAGCATTCGTATTCCTTATGAGCCGTATTAATGCAGGGCAGTCACATCAGTGTTAAACCCTTCTAGAATATACCAGCAACGGTGTGTGGCTTATTACAATGTATTTTGGTGGGTTCAGGTTACGCAATACGTAGTCTCTGTCATTTGTCATGGCTAGATGCTTCTTTTTCATTTACGTTTTGTTGTAATATGGCCTTGTTTGGCCCTGTATTTCTAGCGCATGCAAATTATTAAATGGATTTAATGAATGCACTTCAACGTAACCCGACTTGTCCTACTTCCTACTCGAGCACTTATAATTCTGGAATACATGGTTCCGAAATGCAGCATGGTAAAGGCTGAAGCACACTTCTATAACTCAGAAAAAAGTCATTAGTAAGTGAAGCACGAGCGTCGAACAAGTCAAGGACCCTCACGGCTGAAGTGATCATCTCTTCATCTCTGTGACAGAATAATAAGCGCTTGTTATGAAGTTGCGCCGCGGCTGTTCCACTCCAATGTTATTAGAGGGGAGATTTATTAGCTCGGCTGTCACACAGAAAATATACCACATCAGCTCAGCTACCATGCAAGCATTTACCCAGCGTCAGCTGTAAAGCCGGAAGTGTAAGGGCTCACATCATCTCTCTAACCAAATATCCTTTGTCTTCAGAAAAAGTGCGACATGTACTGGCCCCAAGAAGGAACAGAGCGGTACGGCGTTATTCAGGTGTCCGCTCTCGGCCAGGACGTGATGGCAACATACACAATCAGGAAGTTCCGGATACAGCATCTCAAGGTCAGTGTGACCTTTTCTGGGTCATTCTTGAGAGTACCGCGTCCGATAGTTAAAACAGCCATGCCAGTTAGCTTAGTACGCACACAATCGGATTTGAATTGGATCTCATCTTCACTGTAACATGCATCCAACTCTATTGCTTGATTTCAAATTTATCCTCCATTCAATCTGTGTTCTTTGTCGGCCGACAGCTGAAGAAGAAGAGTCGTGCAGCCACGGAGCGCGTGGTGTACCAGTACCACTACACCAACTGGCCCGACCACGGCATCCCCGACAGCCCGCTGCCCATCCTCAGCTTCGTCAGAAAGTCGGCAGCCGCCAACCCCGACGGCGCCGGACCCATCGTCGTCCATTGCAGGTGAGCCATGCTTCAGTCCATAGTCATACCACTTGGCTGACATCAGTGGGAACAAGAAGCCATGCTCGACTATATATGTCGCTCTTTGGCTGATATGACTTTTTCGTTTCTCAGCGCCGGTGTGGGTCGGACGGGCACCTACATCGTGCTAGACTCGATGATGAAGATGATCCGGGCCAAGGGCGAGCTGAACGTCTTCGGCTTCCTCAAGTACATCCGGACGCAGCGCAACTTCCTGGTACAGACGGAGGAGCAGTACATTTTCCTGCACGACGCCCTGTTGGAGGCCATCGAGAGCGGTGAGACGGACATCCACCGGACCTTCCTGCGCCGATACCTGCACAACCTGCAGACTACCGAGCAGGACATCTACCCCTGGTACAACCTCGACAGACAGTTCAGGGTTAGTGCTTAACGCATCATAGACTGTCGTTTAATGGTCATTTGCTGGGAAGTTTTGGTTTAAGTAGCGATGTGGATGTGATAAAGCTGTTAGGCCTTCATGATAGTGGAGTCGACCAGAAGCTTTTGAGAATAGAAGATAAAAATGCGGAGCCTATGGAATTGTATTTGTTCAACTGGTGACCGACCATGCGAAACGCACAAAAGGCCTTTTACTTCCGCTCGAAAGTGTTTTCCTACGTCATGACACACGTCTCCCCTGCAGTTGGTCACCCGAGAGCAGCCGTCTGACTTCAACCTATCCTCGGGCCGGCACCCGGCCAACGCGCACAAGAGTCGCCACCCGGGCCTGCTGCCGAGCGAGTGCAGCCGCGTCTGCGTCAGCCCGCGGCCCGGCGTCGAGTGCTCCGACTTCATCAACGCCTCCTGGCTGCCGGGCTTCGGTCGGCTGCGCGAGTTCATCGTGACGCAGCACCCGCTGGCCTCCACGCTGGCCGCCTTCTGGCAGATGGTCTGGGACCACAACGCGCAGACCATCGTCCTCCTCAGCCCAGTCGATGACCAGGTGAGATGTTTTGTTCACCTATTAGCCTTGCAGGATAGCGCGCCTTTCCTCTTTGAAAGTGATGTTTTAAGGGTGAGCAGCCAAGCGCTCTACGAGCAAAAAAAGTCACATACTTCTCTTGAACCTCCACACTTCTTCTAGAAATTGACGTGATGTTACCTCATTCCAGGAGTTCGGAATCTTCTGGCCCCTGGAGCACGACGACTTGGAGTGCGAACACTTCCGAGTTCGTTTCACCGCCGAGGCTCAGGGAGGACAGTACATCCTTCGCGACTTCACGGTCCAGTCTCGAACGGTAAGTACAGTTCGTAAGGCGGATTTTCTTTATATGCAGCACGATCATATTCAACGTCGGCACATCCTCTGAACGCAGCTTCCTTGCTTGATGTCGATGCCTGGATGCTTGATATTCTTAAACGCTTTGTTCGTTTAGTTTCATAGCTTTGTGAATGCACAAGAGCCTCAACTATGTGTCTGGTTCCAGGACGACTACGAGCTGGCCGTGCGCATCATCCAGTGCTCCAACTGGCCGGCCAGCTGCTCCCCCATCGGACACGTCTTCGACCTGATCCAGGTGGTGCAGCGCTGGCACCTCGAGTACCAGAACGGACCGTGCGTGGTGGTGGACCGGTTCGGCGGCACTGAGGCGGCCACCTTCTGCTGCCTAACCACGCTGATGAAGCAGCTCGAGTACGAGTCGCACGCCGACGTGTACATGTACGCGCGCCTGTACCAGCGGCGGCGGCCGGGCGTCTGGCCCAGTCGCGAGAACTACTTGTTCCTGTACCGGGCCGTCGAGGCGCTGGTGGCCGGCGGGTGCAGCACGCCGTCGCTACCGCCGCCGCCGCCCCCTCCGCAGGCTGTCGCACCCCAACCTCCACCAGACGTCACCGACGTGCCCCGGCCGGTGCTGAAGTCCATCCTGAAGAAGGGAGGTACCGCACAGCGCGTGCGGACGTCCCGGGCCGGGGACACGCTGGTCCGAATACCCCCAGACGGGATGGAGAGTGTTACGGTGGACGTAGGAGAGGACCTGACCAGTACGTAGGCGGGACCAGCCTGTGGATAGGTGTGTGTTTATGTGACAAGTGATAAACTATATACTCGGGCAGTGTACGTCGAGGACGATCACTAGCCTTGACGTCCGCGGCAATCAACTGTGCTCAAGCGGTCGGCTACCTGCCAACCAGAACAAAACCAGTGAAGACACCTTGAGAACCCTGAAGTCGTCTCTGGGTGTCCTTAATGACTTGGTTGAGCGGGAAAATATGTGCATTTCGGTATGACGTATCAACAGTGGATCGATGTCGGTGGTGTGTGGCTTTGTGGACATTGATGTCAATCGCACGGACAGGATTTGAACAGGGACGAGATGGATCTCAAGCAGTAGTTGGTTGAAGCTACTCTAGGTATTCTGACAATGGTTTGCTTAATTCAGGAACTTGATGTTCAATTTAAGAAATCGCTAACTTGACCAAGCGAATGACTGGTAAACAGATGTTCCAGCATATGTTACAGCAGTTCGCTGATGGAAAGATAGCAAACACATCTAGTCACCGACTAAAGCAGATGCCATCCTGCTAAATTACCTATTTGACCGGTTGGCAGTTGACTTCCTGTGTATTCATTGTCGGTGATAGCGTGATGCTGTCGGATGAGAATGATGTTTCCAAACGGACATCAAGGTGATCCTGCATGTCGATGGAGGTGTGTGTTGAAGTCGCCATTGCGTGTTCATGTATAAAGTGTACAAACATTCACCTAGCATATACTTCCATCAGTTTGTGTGGGAAATATGAAACTAATTTATGTCGACATGGATGTAAATTGTAAAGTATAACTTTATTTGAATCAAATTGTTGCCCTCTCGAATATTGCCAGCCTAATGACTGAGCTGGTCTTTTGATATTTATTTACATCAACATCAACATCTCAAAGGAAATTCTACAGTAATGCATGGAATTGTGTGTAAACTCGCGTGTCTCGACATACAAGCACGCGGAAACCGTTCACAATAGATCATTGCATGAACCTGTGATATTTTATAGTGTATTCACTGTGATATGTGACGTCAATGGAAATACACATGAAACCGGATAAACTGTTTTCGAAATGAACTATTGCTCCAGATTCATTGTTCCCGTTTACTAACAGGTGACATCTGTTCCCAATGATGGTGGCTGTAGCCGCCGACGACCTTCAGGGCCCCGGAGCTTGCGCCGACCGGTAGTGAAACGCGCTAGCTCCGCATGTGCTGACCATATATTGCTCGTAGCGCAGCAAACAGAACGGAACAGAGTGTAGCGGTTTCTGGAATCGAAACAAACGAAACTTAACATATGACCGAATGAACACCAACCAAACGAATACGCAGACACAACAAAGCAAAGAAAACATAATCGGCAAACAATTTCACCAACATGAACTAATTTCCGAAGCTAATATCGCTCACTCACCAACACGGTGCGCCCTTGCCCTCCAAACGTCGAACGGCTGAACCAAGCCACCAAACACGACCAAACCCATCCGATACGCGGCACGCTCAAGCCGCCGCGACAGGCCAACCAAGAATGGCGCTGCCCTCACCGGCCGCCCCTCCGCTGACCCGGAAGGTGACGTGGCAGGTCAGCCGGCGCCGGGTCACGTGACCGTAGAGGTCACCGGTCAGTACATCGAACAAAAATCCAAATAACTTATATCCGCGGAGCACAATACAAAACTAAATTACAAATCGATACCTAAAATAAACCAAAAGACACAAGGCACCAAACCAAAAAATAAACATGTCAATAAATCGATAGCAAATGGGCAACCGAAAATCACACCGGCATCTGTCAAACGCCCAGACAACTAAAAATTAGCATCGCTAGGCGACAACGGCGCCAACAGTGGCCATAATACGATCTTAAAAATAATTAATGGTGAGCAATATGCCGAATAAGGCCAGAAAATAGCATGTGCTCCACACGCGCTGTAATTCATATGACCGCTGAACAGTCAGCTTCATTTTAACCCTCGCCGGACCTATTGGTTTTCTACATACGCGCCGGCCGAGGGGGGGGGGGGGCGGGTACGACCCCCCCTCGCCGTTTCGCCCCTGGTGGAGCTAGAGCGTCGCGGAAAAAACGAGCGTGTGCGCCGTTACGAGACGCAGAGATTGGTACCCGATTTTAAGGTCCTAGGTCAACCGGTGACCTCTGAGGTCAGGTCAAGTGCCCCAAGGTACGGTTCAGTTTTTGGTGAATTACTTCGCAAAAAACGGCCGCAGAGCGCCGATTTTGGCAGCATCGTGTTCGTCTTGCTCAGGCGCGTCGAATGATATACTTTTTGTCCGGGTCAGGTCAACTTGGGGTGTTGACCTCAGGTCAAGGTCAGGTCAGCACCCCCAGGTCACGAAGTTGGTCGAAAGAGGTCATGTCGCATATCATTCGATTCGGCAGGTCTTCCTGAGTCCATTGGTGGCTTTCCCGACTCGCTAGCTCAATTTGATCAAGAGTTATTGACGAAAAACTAATATGACCTTGATGACGTCATAAATGACGTCACGCAAGGTCAACATTGCAAAAGTGACGCATCTAACCTTGCAAGGAGTGCATCAAATCACGATTCTGTGTGCTTGAGATAGTTGGAGATCGTTCCCGGCGCCAGAATAGCAGTTTTCATTTTTCCCCATTGACTTATAATGGTGAGGTCACGAAAATGACCTGACCTCATATGACCTTTACGAAAAATCCGAGATATACAAGTTGTGGGACTCATAATGGATACTAGATCCTGCAAGTTTCATTTCCCTGTGACATCTCCTCTGGCAGTGAGGGCGTTGTGAAGTTGCGACATCTGAAGACCGTGCAGAGGTTCACTTATGACGTCATAGGTCAGTGACCTGACCTGACCCAAAAATGCGGTTGGTGTCAAAAGATCCGGCTTGGATCAAAGGTCAGGTATGCCAAGTTTCAGCTCTCTATCGCCAGCGTGTTCGGAGCTATCGCGAAAAAACCCTATGGGGGGGGGCGGCACCCGCCCCCCCCCCCCCTCGGCCGGCGAGGGTTAATATGTGCCACGAATTAATTGTGCCGAGATATTAAAAAGATATGCATGCAGAAATTGTAGCAATTTATTACATCTTGCATAAATTGTCCAACAGAGATTGATTAAAACATCTTAAGTTCGGTTAATGGAAAAATGCCTACTTCTATCCTGTCGCTGTCTAGCCATTACGCGTGCATCCCTCGGGTATCTAAGCCGCCCGCCCAGCTGGAAACGGCCGTCATACAAGACGCAATGCAGGGTCTCCGGTTAGCGAGCTTTACCCGCAGCTTCCATGGGCGCCGCCACCGGGGGGGACGGGGGGGACGCGTCCCCCCCCCACTCTCAGAATGGAAGGGGGACGTCCCCCCCAAACTCATTACGGAGCGAGCGAAGCGAGCGTAGTTTTTCGTAGGTTAACGGAAATTTCTGAGTATGCCGTGGTCACGCTTTTGCTAGGCTTATATCTCAGCAACCACTTGACCGATTTACATGCGGTAATTTTTGTAGGGTAGCTATAGATTCAATCCTTCTAACGAGCATCGGACTATTCCTGATGCATGTGTGACCCCATATGCACGCGCCACGTGAAAAACGAAGAGGTGTCAGTTTTGTAACAATTTCAATATCTCGGCAACTACTGGGCCGATTGCGCTGAAAGTTGGCATGTAGGTAGGTATACCCACCAGGCAATGCATATCCGTGTGCCACAGTTGGGGCGCTGCTGCACGTGCGCACATGCAGGGGTCGATTCCAGATCTCGAGAACGGTTGAACAGATTGTGCTGAAATCTGATACATGGTAAGGGACCGGTTAGTAGGGGCCGTGCAAAAGTCAGTTGGGACCCATTTTGCACGCGCGCACGTGCAGGGTGCCGCTTCCAGATCTCGAGAACGACTAGGCCGATTGCGCTCAAATTTGGCACATCGTTAGGGACCGGTTAGAAGGGTGCAGTGCACAAGTTAGTTGGAGGCATCCCCTCGCAATTTCGCACGTGCAAGGCCCACCCCACCCTCTCGCTCGCTCCGTTGGTCGCCCCAAAAGTCGTTTTACTAGTTGTTATCCTACTCGAAATTTGATTAGGCCCTTCGGTCCAATGAGACCATTTCAGAGTCGCAAGTATGAAAGAATTGGTGGAAGACATTGGTCGGGGCAGCCACCCCAGTGAGCCACTTGGGATGAACCCGACCAATTGAACAGGCAGCCCAGCCCACTGGCACTCACTGCACCCGGCAAAGGACTTTAGCTCCAGTGGAGCCATTCCCGCATGGCATACAGTTGCCCGTCCAGCCCGGAGCAGGGGGTTGCGGCGTGGAGGAGAAGGATTTGACTGTCCTGAGGATGGAAAAGATGGAACGGCCGGTGCCGAATCTGAGAGGGTCCAGGAGGTTTAGATACTCAGTATATGGGGTGTGGGCCTACATGCATTGGACTGACCCCTGATACCTCGGCCAACAAAATCTCCAGCTCATATCCGACCTGTCATCGCGGAACTGCCGATTTTTGATATCGTGATCAACGTGTCTCGCATAACACGACAGGCCGAACACGGGCCTAATATACCGGGTGTCCCAAAAGTAAGGTCATGATTTAAAACTTAAATATCTCGAGAAGTAAGAGTCCGAATCACTTCCAATTTTAACACGTGCAAGGTACATCCATAAAATTATTTTCTTGCATGCTTAAACCATTTTTGATCATAACTACACCGAGCAGTAGGCATAAAACTGAGAAGGTCGAAATTCAACTCTTAGAGAGGGTCCGTCATTAAAACAAAGGGTAAATACCGCCCAGTTTTCGGCCCTAAGCAGACCCTATCAGCTCGCCCTATCTCTGAACTCATGCATAGTTTCGCCTCAACCGGTAAAACGTCAGAAAAAAGGTATAATGTACGCACAGGGCATGTATACTTAGCCACCTGTGCTTCGAGGTCCTGAGGACGACAGCGGGAATCGGGTGACAATAAATCAAGAGAGGTGGCCGAGAGTCCTCCCACTGGTTCTTCCGCTCGTCGCAACGCAGCTGTGCCGACACCATCAGCCAGCAGTGGTTTCAGCAGGATGGAGACTATGCTTGCACCGTCCTGAAGATCATGCATTGTCTCCGAGAGTGGATGTGAGATCCCGTAATTTTCAGTCAGGGCAACGCCATTGAATGGCCTCCGCGGTCACCTGTCGTTACACCTTCATATTTTTATTCTCTGGATACACAACAGAAAGATTGTCTTTTAGGACAACCCAACGAGCCGGGAAGAACTAAAGGATGATCCCTTCGAGCAAACATAGGCGGCATCTCACCAGAGAATCGCTCCAGAATAGTGGAGGAAGTCAAACGTAGTCTATTCATGCACGCGGCCCAAAATGGTAGCCATGTAGAAAAGCAGCAAATGTGGGGCTACGAGCCAATGTATTGACTCATATGTATGTCAGAATAAAATTTTATAAAATGCTCTTTCATATGATGTCCTATTTATATCTATCCATCGCGTATTTTTGGCAGTGTGGCCAAAACAAATGATGATCTTACTTTTGGGACACCCTGTATTTCGTCTAACCAGCCAAGAGCATGACTTTACACCAATCCGACCTCGAAGTCAAAATCCGAACATTTTCGAAGACTTCAACTCCGACTCTGGCCAAAATTGGCCAAAACAGTCAACTCCGACTGATTCCGGCTCCGACCCCACACTTCTGTAGTCACGCTACACTAAATTTCCAGCTTCTAAGAAGTACGGTCTAAGAAATACGGTTGACAGGACCACAAAACTTTGAGGCGACTTGACTACTTGACTTGGTTTTCCTGACCTAAGGTTTTCTGGTATCAAGCTTGTTACACGGGCTGCAAAATTCGTATTTTGGAGCAACTTTTGCCTAATGTTTTTTTTTTGCCAATTTTCGCTCGTGCACAAACCGAAAAAGAGATTTGTGACTATACAACGCCCCCTCCCCCACGCGGGTATGCAATATGCATTACCTATGCAATATGCATTATCGATCATATTAGTGGCATACATCAGCAATTATACCGTGATAGAACACGAGGCTTTGCCGTGTCAAACTGAATCGGACATCAGAT